CCTCTTCCTTTTCCTTTCATAAAGTTCCAATCCATGTGACTTCGAAAAGTCCTTTCCCTTTTCCCTTCCGTAAAGCTGCTGCTAAAGCACCAATGTCCATGGGAGCCTGAACTCCGCCTGCGAAAGCTGCGTTCGCCGAAGTTTGCGCAACTGGATTAATCAAAAGTCGAGAGCGATGGTATTCGAGAATAACTTCGCGCACCTCAGCATAAGTTTGGTTTGATTGTTTCCCAGACATTAAAGTCCTATTTAAAGGTTGCTAGATTGAACTTGAAGTCCAAGGGCTGCGTCCAAAGTGACGTGCTCCTCGTTGCTCTTGGCAGCGAAAACTTCTTGTAAAGTTTCCTCGAAGTCTCAAAGCCATTGCTGTCCTCGTTTTGTCGAACGATAAGTTTGGCCGATTTTTTCACAAGTTGCGAAATCAAGTGATGTAGCTTCCGGGAGAGAAGTACTCGGGCTGAGGTGCTCGGCATCAACATCACCTGTATCCAGAACTACTTCCAAATGTTCATCTAGAAATTCATGTGTTCTTCCTTCTGCATTCTTTACTAGTAGCAAACTGACGGCGCCTGTTTCGAACATCGAAATGTAGGCCCTAAAGTTCCAGGCCCATTCTTCCCCGTCGGCAGGGTTGCCGATGAAAATCTCAAGCGAGGGAAGCCGAAGCCTTCCTGTAAAGTTCTCCTTCGCATCCTAAGGCGATGTCTTCTCACCAAAGTTCCTTGGAACTTTCAGCTTCGCTACCATGCGAAAGGACAACGTATTCAGACAGCACATTAGCAATACCCTAAAGCACTGCGTGCACTGCTCACTCAGCTTCAGGTCAAAGTAACTCTGAAAGTCACGGAATGCTTCTTTCCAGGGGATGTAAAAAGTGCATTGTGGTCTTGAGCCGCGGCAGTGGCAAAGTCGGGGTATGGAGATAACGCAATATTTTCACACACACACACAACACGCAATTGCCTGTTCGAAGGTAGCAGGAGGCAGCTGAAACATGTCTGAAGGCCATTCCTTTTCGCTCCTCTGGTGCTTCCAGATTGTAGGGCTAGGGGTCGTGGTGACTTGGAATATTTGTGAAACCTACGGGACCGAATCAGTATCGCCCATCCCGGGTGACCGCACAGGATCAGCATCGGTTGCACGCACAAGCACGGCAACGGCAAACCTTCAATTCGCTGTCTTAGACGTAGACCAACTGCCGAAGCATACCGTTACCCAGACAGATATGTGAGGAACGGAGCGCTCCAGAAGAGCGGCAGCCAAACTCCAGAAGAATTGCCACTGCATTGGGAGTTACCGCTGTCGTGGCAATAGCTGGCTTGGCAGGCCGCTCAGATCAATGCAAGGTTTCTCAATACGTCTTTGTCCTGCGGTGCTTGGTGCTTGGCAACTGCCTAGAGCGGCTGAGTTTAGGGATTAAGTCTTAGTTCACACCATTTGCACCTTTCCAGTTCGGCTTCCCTGAGTTGAAGGCAAGCAGCTTTTTCATGCTTCGACGGAGAGTGCCCACAGCTTCAGTGGCGATCCCAAGATTTACGGCTTCGATGTGGCGCGGGGCCTTCACACTCTCTGCTACTGCATGGCATATCCACCCTATGTGCACCCGCATGCAAGGCCGAGACTTATCCACATGATCCGGAGGCATTTACGCAGGGTCTTTTGTGGTCTAACGGATCACTCTACGAGTCGACCGGGCTGTATGGACGCTCATCGATTCGAGAGTTTCAGCTGGGACCCGGAGGCGGGATGGCCGTGGTTGACAGCACATGCTGAATCAAGAAGGTACTTCCAGCATCAAAAACTTCTACACGTGCTACTTTGCTGTCTACTGCAAGGTGAAGTTCGCTTGTTGCGAAAGCTGGAATTGAATGGCCGAGACTTTGGAGAAGGGCTTGTCCAGAGGAGGCCACATACCGTCATCACATATGCGCTTCGTGCAGCTTCACATAGACCTCCCTATTCAGGGGTCAGCTGCTCCAGTTGCTTTGGCGACGAGGTGAAGGCATTCGCCCCTTGGCACCAAGACACGAGCAAGAAAGGGATGCAATGAGACAGGTCGAAGCCCAGCCTGGCCGAGGCTATCGGGCTCGTGCAGGAGAAGGTGGCCAACTGAAAAAGGCTGGCACATTCCGAACTCCTTTGAATGACGGCTGGGGGCCTCCCTGTTGCACTTCGGGCTTCTGAGCAGCTGCGGATTGCAACTCCGAGCCGGGGTGCACACCGATCGAGGATCGAAGCACACGGAAACCAGCTGATCCTGACGGCCGCTGGATCCCAAACTTGTAAGACGTTGCATTGGGAAATTGTGGCCACGGCTGTGGCCCGCCTTTCCATTTTGCAAGCACTCTCAGGACAGTGGCCATGAATTGATTACGCTTGACGAGAACTTTGAGGTTGTCAGAAGAGAAGCTCTTCTGCAGATTCTAGGCAGTTCGGGCCTGCAGGCTGCGAGGTGTTGGAATCTTCACTGGTCTTCTATGAAAGTAAAAAAGCTGTTTGGTGTGTAGTACAGGTGCCCGTCAACGATGCCGGCGCCGTCGTTGAGATGGTCAACGAGCTTGAGATGGTAGGCAACGGAGGAAGTTACGCAAAGGATGGGGGCCATGCTTCGGCGACTGGCAGGTGAAGAGCTCTGGGCTAATGTGTACGGAACAGAATGCCTTGCACGCATCGACACGGAGTCTGGATCCGTAACTGGCTGGGTGCTGCTGCATGGGCTTCTGGATAAGGAGCGCACCTTGAATTGAACAACTTCTGCAAGGGCAGTACTAGGGAGAACCTTTGCGTGCAAGCGATTGAATTTTGGGCTGCTGGCCTGCCTAGTTGTGCTGCACATTGCGATGTACTTATGACTTGGTTGACTTCTGATCGTTACACTCGTGTGTAAACGATGTAAAGGAAACCGGGCACACGTAACAGTGAACTCGTGACGGAAACCAGGCTGCACCGCGAACTGGAAAGCATGACACCGGGAACGGAACCAGACCGAGAAATCTGAGCGTCCTTGGGGGCATCTGGGCATGCCCGGGTTTGCTGGGGGCCCTGCTGCGGGCCTCTGACCCGCGGAAGGGATGCACATGTGGGACTAGAAATGTCTTCGCCTCGTTTGTTCGCTGTGCCGCCAAAGCTCCCGCGACTCCCCTGCAAAACAGGCCAATCTGCATTGGCAGGCCAATCTGCATTGGCACAGAACCGCGAGAAGAGGTAATGACAGTAGGGCAGCGCTTGCGCGCGGCACATGTCATGCGGAGCTGAAACGGTTGGCATAGTTACGGCATAGCTACTATGTCATCCATGCCAGGAAAAAGCAATACAACATGGCCAGGCAGTAGCTGATTGGTGTATCTAAGGGTCTTCAGTTTGCCACCGAGTGCCGGTCGGAGCAGCACAGGTGCGAATTGGCGAGCTGGCGATGCTGGGTCCGACGCACCAGATGTTCTGAATGGCATTGCATGGGACGCAGACAGCAAGCGCCTCTTTGCACCTTGGATGGTTGAGGTGGTGAAATGGCATGCTGAGGAGACCCAGGTAATGTAGGAATCCAGAAACCTGATAAAGAAACCCTGGCCCTATAACCCCAAAATACTAGGATACATATGAGGAACCCTGATACAGACCCAGGGTTTCTTAATCAGGTTTCTATATTAGGTTTGTCGATCTCTAAGGTTACTGGCAAGCTTTGGTCGCATTTGTACGAGATTCAAGTGAAGCCCTCGCAGGTGGGCGTAGAGCAAGCCAGGCGCTTTTGCATACCCAAATCGAACTTATTCCGGCGCTGAGACGGATGTTGTGCGGTGAAAAAAGTACACGAGATGCCCTCCGCCTAGCACGGCGTGGAAGCAGACGACGGACGACGACCACGACGACGACTGCAATGCAGCATTCACTCGATGGTCATGTTCGTCCAAGTAGTCGTCAATAATTATCACTGTCGGGGGGCCATCATCAGAATCGTCGTCGTCCTCCTCCTCCTATTCCTCCTCTTCCTCCTTATCATCATCGGCAGCTCAAGCAGCAGCCGCAGCAGCAGCTTCCTTGTCATCATTATCGTCGTCGTCGTCGCACGCAATTGCCGTTTGTGGTGTTTGCTGTCACGACGAATTTTGCATCTCCCCTGCAGAGTTAGCCTCGCATTGCTGTTGCTGCAGCTTGCAGTGATCGTTTGATCATCTTGCAGGCCTGGGAGAACAGTGTGCGGATCGGTTCGTCAGTGGCGCGCAAAGGACGGACGAAGTTTGAGGTCGCGGCACACTGCAGTTGAATCAAAAGCGTTTAAGGACTTTCTGATGATGTGATTACAATGCTAAAGTGCTTGGAGAAGACCTTTCCCGAAGAGGCTTGCTCTGCTTGTGCCACGAGTATCAAGGGCGGACACATCAAATTTCCGCAATCTGTGCAGGTCTCACTGGGCAGGGCCAGGACCCCGAGACGCTTCGTGACTGCGATGCCATGCATGCCCAGCTGTCAAAGGTTCCCCACTGCTGAAACACACTGAAGCCAGGTGCTCGGTGCCAAAGCACCCAAGAAGCAAAGAACAGTGGCTGAAGATGCCGCCGAGATCCTGGAAGCTAGCCACTACCAGGATCGGCTGAAGATTGATGTTCTGTTCCGTCTGTCCGAAGCCGCTGATGTCTCTGCAGGTGCTGATCCCTCCAGTATGTTGCACAGATTACCGACAGGGTTCGAGTTTGCGCATGTCCTTCCAGGAAATGCCCATTCTTCCTACTTCGGCAGAAATGCCTCGTTCTCGGCACAGTATGTCAAAGGTGTAGGTTGGCCCCAGGAAACCGGGCGTGCGACACCATGACATCAGTGACATCCATGTGACAGGATTGGACATTGCGCCTTCGAAGTTTCAGCACTCTGAGTTGCACTGTTTGCAATGGAGTCGTGTTCGTCTGGATCAGCTTGTACCTGAGGAGAACATGCAGACCTATGAGAAATGCGCAGACTACATTCAGACTCACTTCATGCTTCTCAGAGAGGATACCGCAATTACTTGCAAAATGCTCAGCAAGCCTCGCCACTCTTTTGCATTAGCGAGCTACCTGGACAGGACTACATCGAGCCTCTCCGTGCCGGCATCAAGCTCTTCATGCAAGGGCGCCACTCTCCAAAGGAGTGCTCTTGGACACTTCGGAACAATCGGCTAAGCCAATGTTCTAGCTAGCGCCGCCATGCAGACGCAGCAGTATTACGCAGGATCTGCATGTTTACACCGGTGTCAAGGTGGGAAAACCGGATGCTTGCTGCGGATGCATGTGCTTAGCTCCAATCCAACCAAGTTGTTGAGGTGTCATGAGCTGTTTTCCTGCAAAATCCCTTTGACGTGCGCATGCGCGTCTATGTGAACCGACTACATGCCGCAGCAATAAACTTGAGCACAGAGTCGGATACATCGTCATGGAGAGTCAGATTCAAGAATCCAAGCCGTGCAGCACACGCAAGTCGCACGAGCATATACATACACACACAAAACAAAACAACAAGAACAAAAGAAGACAGACAGATGCATTCCCAGGGACAGTGAAGAGAGGTGCAGACACTCACACGCCAGCCAACACACAGGCACATACACAGACATAGAGAGAAAGATGTTATCATAATGGAGATTTCATGCATGCTAGAAGGCAGCAGTGATGCTGGTGACAATAATGATGATGACAACGAGAGGAGAATTCCGGTTACACGCATGCCCACACAAAGAATGGCATGCGGCACACAGTGCAAATGAGCTGATACGAAACGGATAGAGAGCAGGCAATGCATGTGCGTTGCCCGGGAAGCCCAGGCGAGCTTCGTTCGACACGAATATCAGAGGAAGTGGCCCCCTGTGCCCCTGAACGAGAACAGTACACACAGGGCGGCGAACCACCGGTTGATGACTAGCTGGATGTAACCTTGCTGTGGCCGTTCCGTTTACGAAATGGCTGCAAACATGTATGCCACAAAGGGGCCATCAGTTAATGTGGAGGCCACAGAGGATCCGTTCTTGCAGGGCAGGTACATCCAGCTGATCACGCTGGATGTTCAATGCAGAACCGTAGCTTCGTTGCTCACGGTCGGCTGTGGACGCCGTGTGCCCCTTCTGCCACAAGCCTGAGTGGTTTCACTGCCAAGCAAACTTGGAGAGAAAAAGTGGCGGCAAGAAAAGCTGGGTGTGAGACCATACTTCTGTGAACCAAGAAGGTACACACTCCCGCAGAAGAGAGAGAGAGAGAGAGAGAGACACCTAGCCATTTTGGCTCAAGCCGCGAGTGCTCAAGGACGTGGGGGCCTCTCTGCCCTTCGCCACCTTTCTCCACTTTCTTCGGGGCCCCCCGTTCCTGCAACCCGGGCGCCTCTCCTCTTTCCACTCCTCGTGCCTCTCTTGCCGAGGGATTGCAGGGCACCGTGAGTAAGAAGTTCACTGTTCTTCGAGACCATCGCTTCTGCCGAGGACCTCGTTGTGCAACGTAGCTGTACGGTGGCCTCACGCTGTGCCTTAGGGACTTTGACATCCCTGCTCGCCTACGGGATCGGCGAGCCTACTCAAGAACAGTGCCCTTTACACGATTCCGGGGGCCCACTACCTCGAACGACCCGACCAACACCTACAAGTTCGTGACTTGGGCATCGACATTAGGAGTAATATCCTTGCCTGGGTGGTGGCGTGTAGGGAAGTGTGAGTTGTCCCTCCCTACCTGGCGAATATGGAGGGCCAGGCAGACAGACCCGGTGGAAGACACCGAGACCGAGACAAGGACCGCAAACGACGCCGACGACGAAG